AATATGATCCGAGAGCTGGAGAGCCAAAGGGTGCTCAGCAAGACCCACTCACCCTTCAACAACCCCATCTGGCCTGTGCAAAAATCTGAAGGAGAATGGAGATTGACAGTGGACTACCGTGCATTGAATGAAGTGACTCCACCATTGAGTGCTGCCATATTAGAGCTCCAGTATGAGCTTGAGTCCAAGGCAGCAAAGTGGTGCGCCACTATAGACATTGCCAATGCATTTTTCTCCATTCCTCTGGCAGCAGAATGCAGGCCTCAGTTTGCTTTCACATGGAAGGAGTGCAGTACACCTGGAACCGACTGCCCCAGGGGCGGAAGCACAGCCCCACCATCTGCCATGGACTGATCCAGGCTGCACTAGAAAGGGGTGAGGCTCCAGAACATCTGCAGTATATTGGTGACATCATTGTGTGGGGGAGCACAGCTGCGGAAGTGTTTGAGAAAGGGAAGGAAATCATCCAGATCCTCCTGGGAGCTGGTTTTGCCATTAAAAAGAGCAAAACAAAGGGACCAACTCATGAGATTCAATTCCTGGGAGTGAAGTGGCAAGATGGACGGCATCAGATTCCCACAGATGTCAACCACAAAATCACAACAATGTCTCCACCCACCAATAAGAAAGAGACACAAGCTTTCCTAGGCGCCATAGGTTTTTGGGGAATGCATATTCCTGAGTACAGTCAGATCGTGAGCCCTCTTTACCTGGTCACCCGCAAGAAGAACAATTTCCAGTGGGGCCCTGATCAGCAAAAAGCCTTTGTCCAGATCAGGCAGGAGATTGCTCATGCAATAGCCCTTGGCCCGGTCAGGACAGGACCAGAAGTAAAGAACATGCTCTACTCTGCAGCTGGGAACCATGGCTTGTCCTGGAGCCTTTGGCAGAAGGTGCTTGGGGAGACTTGAGGCCGACCACTAGGATTTTGGAGTCAAAGCTACAGAGGCTTTGAAGCCAACTACACTCCCACAGAGAAGGAAATCTTGGCTGCCTATGAAGGAGTCCAGGCTGCCTCAGAGGTAATAGGCACTGAAGCACAACTCCTCCTGGCACCCCGACTACCAGTGCTGGGGTGAATGTTCAAAGGCAAGGTTCCTTCCACTCACCATGCCACCAGTGCTACATGGAGCAAATGGATTGCTCTTATCACTCAGCGCGCCTGTATAGGTAAACTGAATTGCCCTGGGATTTTGGAGGTCATTACAAATTGGCCCGAAGGTGAAAATTTTGGTGTCACAGATGAAGAGGAACAAGAACCAGTGACACGTGCTGAAGAGGCTCCTCCCTATAACCAACTGCCACCAGAGGAAACATGCTATGCTCTTTTCACTGACGGTTCCTGTTGTATTGTGGGAATGAACTGGAAGTGGAAAGCAGCCATATGGAGCACCACACGACAGGTGGCACAAGCTACCTAAGGAGAAGGTGGATCAAGCCAACTTGCTGAACTCAAAACTGTTCAACTGGCCCTAGACATTGCAGAAAGAGAGAAATGGCCAAAACTCTACCTCTACACTGATTCATGGATGGTAGCCAATGCTCTGTGGGGATGGCTGGAGAGGTGGAAAGAGGCTTACTGGCAGCGTAGAGGAAAACCAATTTGGGCTGCTGATGAGTGGAGAGACGTTGCTACCAGGGTAGGCAAACTACCTGTGAAGGTCCGCCATGTGGATGCCCATGTACCCAAGAGTAGAGCTAATGAGGAGCACCAAAACAATGAGCAAGTAGACCAGGCTGCAAAGATAGGGGTGTCCAAAATAGACCTAGATTGGGAACATAAGGGAGAGTTATTCCTAGCTCGATGGGCCCATGATGCCTCAGGCCATCAGGGCAGAGATGCCACCTATAAGTGGGCACGAGACCGAGAGGTGGATCTAACCATAGACAGTATTTCACAGGCTATCCATGACTGTGAGACGTGTGCTGCCATCAAGCAGGCCAAGCGAGTGAACCCCCTGTTGTACGGTGGGTGGTGGTCCAAGTACAAGTATGGGGAGGCCTGGCAGATTGACTACATCACACTGCCCCAGACATGCCAGGGCGAGCGCTACATGCTGACCATGGTGGAAGCCACCACTGGATGGTTGGAAACCTACCCTGTGTCTCATGCTACGGCCCAGAACACCATCCTGGGCCTTGAAAAGTAGGTCCTTTGGAGGCATGGTACCCCTGAGAGGACTGAGTCAGAAAATGGGACTCATTTCAAGCACAGCCTTATCAACACCTGGGCTAGAGAACATGGCATTGAGTGGGTGTACCATATCCCCTACCATGCACCAGCTGCAGGAAAAGTGGAGAGGTACAATGGACTACTAAAACCCAGTTGAAAGCTTTGGGTGGGGGATCCTTCAAAAATTGCGAGCAGCATTTAGCAAAAGCCACCTGGTTAGTTAACACCCGAGGTTCCACCAACCAAGCAGGTCCTGCCCAGTCTGAGTCCCTGAATATATTAGCTGGAGACAAAGTCCCAGTGGTACATATCAGAGGTTTGTTAGGGAAGACTGCGTGGATCAATTCTGCCTCAAGTAAAGACAAACCCATTATTGGGATTGTCTTTGCTCAGGTTGCACATGGTGGATAATGCAAAGAGATGGAACAACATGATGTGTAATTCAGGGAGATCTGATTGTGGGGTGAAAATGATATGCAAATGCAAAAATGATATTCGTTGGATGTTACTGCAATTGTCTGTACGTTAAAAACCGTACAGACATGAGATAGAAGGAAATGTGTAAGTATCGAGGGTGTTAGCAAGTGAAAGATGGAGCTTTCAGTGAGTAAAGTGAAAGGGGAGAATCCTGCAGCTCTGTGGTATGGGGCCTGGGTTCAGTGGTCCAGTGTGGGGATGCAATGAGGGCATGATGAATATTGCTTGTAATTTTGGGGGGAAGCAGATGGAAGTTTTACATCAATAAAATGCATGATGTGTGGTAGTATGTTGACAATATGGGGATAAGGGGTGGAATTTCCTAGGGTGACGTTATGATGCTTGTATCCCCATTCATCTGTTCTGTTTATGCTGGATATTATGTTCTGTGCCTTCAAGTCTGTCTCTGAAGAGCGAATGTTTTGTTTTGGTTTTGCTATCAGCCGCTCCCCCACAGCTGGTGCGACACAGAGACAGGGCAGTACATTGTGCTGCTTTTGCTTTTTGCTTTGCTCTTGCTCTTGCTTCTGCTTTGCTCCTGCTTTGCCCTTGCTTTTTGCTTCTGCTCATTAGTTAGTTTAGTTAAGCAGTCCAAATTTTTCTCTGGACTGTTTCTTCTTTCCCTTTTTTGGACCTACTCAAACCTGCTCTGGACTGGGACCTGGGAACACCAAGAGTTTGCACCTTGTGGCTGCAGCAGCTGCCCCAGCACCAGAGGGACTGAAAACAGAGCGACCACTCCTCGAGAGAGACTTTCTGAATTGGTCATCTTTTTCAGAGTGGTGAAAGAGTGTTGTCATCTGGTACTGTTCATTTTGTGTGCTTGGGAGTGCTTTGCCTGTTAAATAAACAGGTTCTTTCCATTTCTCTCCAAGGAATCCTTCCCGAACAGGCTGAGGGGAGGGGTCGTGTGGGTTTGCTTTCTGGAGGCGCCCCCTTTGGAGGTTTTCTCACAGATTTGCCCTAAACAAAGACATAGGCACAGCCAGCAATGTCAGGGCTCTGTCAGGTGCCCACCCCTGAGCTGGGCTCATGCCCTGCTCAGAGTCCCAGGGCTGTCCAGGACACGAATCCTTCCCTTGCACACACACGCACAGAGTTCATTGCAGCATGGGCAGGAGCTCCCTGGGCTCCACTGCCACTGCCAGAGCCTGGCAGGGACCTCAGCCCTGCGGGTGTCACCCTGCCTTGCCCTACCCTGCCCTACCCTGCCCTGCCCTGCCCTGCGCGGCCCTGCCCTGCCCTGCCCTGCCCTGCACTGCCCTGCCCTTCCTGAGGTGCCCCATGGCCAAAGGGATGAACATGGGGAGCTCTGTGCTCAGGAGCTCATCCCAGCCCTGCACTCAGGGGTTCCCAGGGGATGTTACTCTCTGGAAGCTCCAGGAGCAGCTGAAGGTGTTTGTGCTCACTGGGTTTATGTCCCCTCAAACACACATGATGTTCAAGGCTGCGGAATGGCCGTGCACTGCAAACACAGACTCCTGACCCTGTCACTTGATGTCCCTCCATGGAGGGAAGAACAACCTCTGTGACCTGGGGTGAGAGGCCACTGCTGTAGCAGTGCTGGCTTTGCAAGGGCAATGCTGGCACAGCCCCCCACCCTGATCACTGCCACACTTCTGCTGGTCACTGCTGGTTTCCTCTCCAGGACCCTGTGTTGGGCACATCCCTGAGAGCAAACTGGGAAGAGGATTGAAGCTTTCAGGTCCTGCACTGGGGAGATGCCCTTGCACAATGGAAATGCTGCTGCAGAGCCCAGCTCTGTCCCAGCAGTGCCCACGGTCTGTCCCTGCCTGCAGTCCCTGGACAGTCACACAGCAGGACAGGGACTGACCTGGAAGAGCCCTGAGGCCTAAAACCAGCACAGGGGCTCTGAAGGGGAGTGTGGGACTGAAGGAAGGGGAGGTTATGGAGGAGAAGCCCGGGGGCTCCCTGGCAGGGAGGAGAACTGGGGTTCCCTTTTCTGCTCGAGCTCTGCCCAGAGGCAGCGACCCTACAGATCCAGAGAAGCCAGGGAGGAAAGATGTCAGGCACACAGGGCAATACAGAGCTCTTTATTTTGTGTAAGCACATAGGGAGTACAGAAGTAGTACAGATCCTGGTTTATACAGCCTCTCGGTGCAATACTAAAGAAAAATACTAAAATAAAAACAGTAGTTTCAAAAATTGTTGTGTGAACAAATTCACAAAAGTGTAACAGCTGTGTAAATAGCAAAAAATACAGGACACAGAGTGAGAATTAATGAGTAACACCATAAGAGCTATGTAGAAGAATAAGTGTTTATTGCTTCTGAATATCATTTGTTATAATTTTCCTCAGACCATTCTTGAGCTCCTGGTTCCTCAGGCTGTAGATGAGGGGATTCAGGACTGGAGGCACCACCAAGTACAGAACTGACAGGGCCAGATCCAGGGATGGGGAGGAGATAGAGGGGGGCTTCAGGTAGGCAAAAAAGGCAGTGCTGATAAACAGGGAGACCACAACCAGATGAGGGAGGCAGGTGGAAAAGGCTTTGTGCCGTCCCTGCTCAGAGGGGATCCTCAGCACAGCCCTGAAGATCTGCACATAGGAGAAAACAATGAACACAAAACAGACAAATGCTAAAGAGATGGAAAAAACAATAACCTTAAGTTCCCTGAGGTAGGAATTTGAGCAGGAGAGCTTGAGGATCTGTGGGATTTCACAGAAGAATTGGCCCAGGGCATTGCCATGGCACAGGGGCAGGGAAAATGTATTGGCTGTGTGCATGAGAGCATAGAGAAAGGCAGTGGCCCAGGCAGCTGCTGCCATGTGGGCACAAGCTCTGCTGCCCAGGAGGGTCCCGTAGTGCAGGGGTTTGCAGATGGACACGTAGCGGTCGTAGCACATGATGGTCAGGAGGGAAAATTCTGCTGTGATAAAGAAAAGAAAGGAGAAAACCTGTGTAGCACATCCTGAGTAGGAGATGTCCCTGGTGTCCCAGAGGGAATTGTGCATGGCTTTGGGGACAGTGGTGCAGATGGAGCCCAGGTCGCTGAGGGCCAGGTTGAGCAGCAAGAAGAACATGGGTGTGTGCAGGTGGTGGCCGCAGGCTACGGTGCCGATGATGAGGCCGTTGCCCAGGAGGGCAGCCAGGGAGATGCCCAGCAAAAGGCAGAAGTGCAGGAGCTGCAGCTGCCGCATGTCTGCCAATGCCAGCAGGAGGAAGTGCCTGATGGAGCTGCTGTTGGACATTTGCTGGGTCTGCACATTTCAACCTACAGAAGGAGGAAAGACAGGGCAGTGGAGGGGAAATTTCTCACAGAAAAGTCAAAGCCCTTTCTCATTCACTCTTTCCTTCCACTAAATACCTCCCCCTGTCCATGTCTCAGAGACCTTCCTTCACCTTTGTTGCTGGAGCCCTGATTGCTTCTGGCTAACGCTGTGTGAGCAGCTGGACCTTGGCCTGCAGAACACCTGGGAGTCAGCCCTGACCCCCAGTCAGTGCAGGGCAACAGTGAGGGAGAAGTGCAGGAGCTGCAGCTGCCACATGTCTGCCAATGCCAGCAGGAGGAAGTGGCTGATGAGCTGCTGTTGGACATTCCTTCACTCTGGGCATTGTGAGCTGTTAAAAGACAACATTGATAATTTGGACAAAGTACCTGGACTCAATCCTATGCTAATTTTTTACACAATCTCTAAAAATTGCTTCTCTTTCTTTAAGGAAATTTCATTTCTCTTTTTTTAAAAAATTTTTTTTTATTTGAGTGTTGGTTTGGACTGCTAAATAACTGTGTGTTTTCTGGAAGGGACCGAAGTCCTGTTCTTAGCATTGCTCTCAGGCTGAACACTGGGGAGCCCAGAGGGAAAACAGGACTCCCTGTGCCCCAGTGCAGTCAGACACGCTGTTCCCAAACAGCTGCCATTTGCTAATTTCACCTCCCTCGAGTACAGGTAGTACAAATTTATAATTGTATTTTAAAATGACATGGCCTTTTTAAGGACTTCAGTATCAAAATCAATCTCTCCAACTCTTTTCTCTTTCCCTGTGCATCTGGACAGGGAGGGATACCAAGGGTTGGTCTGGCTCTCTGCTGACTGGAGTTGTGCCTACTGGGAGCTGTTTCTCTCTATCCAAGCCTTGTCCCTGCCTGTGCTGTCAGGGCCCAGCCCAGCCCTGGGAGCTCAGCTCTGCCCTGCAGACACCCACTAGCACAGGGCACTGCCCAGGGGCATCTCCCTGGCAGCAGGGCCTTAAGGGCAGGCCAGACAAACAGAGATGCTGCAAGCCAAGGTGCTGCTGCTGCTGTCTGTAGGGAGAGGAGGCTGAGGAGGCACTTTCTGAGGGAGATCTGAGGCACATCTGCTGATGCCCAGGCTGACAGTGCACGAGTCTCAGTGACACAGCCAAAGCTGACAGCCCCTTTCCCTTCCCTTGAGGAGAAAGCTGAGAGCAGCCCTGGCCATGCAGCACCCTCTCCACAGCAGGAGGAATCTGCCCTGATGGGGGTGGCTCCTTCCACCTCCAATTTCTCCCCTGCAGCGTCTATGGGGAGCTGCCAGGCAGGCTGAGAGCTGCCCCTGGCATGGGGCACATGCCCTGGGCTGGCCAAGAGCCCTGAGGGCTGCAGGAGCTGCTCTGCAGGACAGCCCTGGGCAGCCCTGGCTGCAGCCGCAGCTTCAGCCCCTGCAGCCGTCCCTGGCAGCAGGAGCCATCCTGCCCTGTCCCTCTGACGGTGCCCAGGGCAGCCCCACTCTGCAGCACATCCTCCTCCTGCTCCTGTGCCAGAGAGAAACTGGGAGAATCCTCCTGACACACCCCCCAGGCAGTGGGGTGTGCTGGCTTCAGGAGATCCCTCCAGGGGCGCAGGGGACATTGCCCTGCACTCACAGACTCACCATGCACAGGGCTGTGAAGATGTTTCCCCAAGTGAAGTCTCAGCTCAGTGTCTTCCCAATCCTGATTGCCTTCAGCCTGTCTCTGCCTGGCTCTTGTCCCCTCAGTGCCTGCAGGCAGAGCCCTCTGCCCTGCTGGGCTGGGAGAGGAGCTGGTCCTGGGAAGAGCTGTTCCTTTAAAGCTCAGCAGCACAGACACAGCACAAGGACTTAAATGAGACTCTTGGGGATTTAGTGTTGTTTACATAAGACTCATTCCCTAAGAGGGTCTTCAAAAAACTTCTCAACAACTCAAAATTAAATTGAAACTCCAAAGTTTCTTGAAGTTTTAATGGGTCCCACTGAGGGACACGACTGAGAAAATGTCCCCAGGTTCCAGTAGAGCAGAACACTGGAGGCAGTGATGACAGCTGGGGACAAACAAGGCCAAGGTGTCTCTGGTGCTGAGCAAAGCTGGATGTGTTTGAGGAATGCAAAGGGCCAAGGCCTGAGCCCCAGCCCCAGGCCAGGCAGATCCTGTTCCTCCCTCCTTGCTCAAGGCTCTTGCTGGGATGGGCACTGGCATGTGGGGATGTGCAGTGGCAAGGGCAGGAGCATGGGGCGGCCCCTGCCAGGCTGCTGAGCAGGGACAAGGAGGCAATGAGGCCCCAGGCCTGCAAGGGTCACTTGTCTCCTGCTCCTGCCTCAGGCCCAGGCCCAGCAGCCATGGCCAAAGTGCTGCCCAAGTTGGCTCTGGCAGGGCTGTCTTGCAGCTGCTGCCCATCCCTGTGCCCTGTGCAGCCCAGGCTGTCCCACGATGTCCCTGCCCTGTCTCTCTGTCCCAGCAGGCTGCTGGCATCCCCCAGCTGCCCCACCTGGCTGGCCCCTTCCTTTGCTGACAGCTCTGCCTCCTGCCTGCCTCTGCCTGCCCTCACAAAGCCTTGGGCTGACCCAGACTCCTTCTGGGAGATGTGTTGTGCCACAGTCCTGCCCTGGGAGGGAAATTAATCTCTCCTGGTTTCCATTCTGTGTCTTCACAGCTTCACTTGGTGACATTATTTCTATCTCAGGCTCATTTCCACTATGAAGAAGATGTCCATTATATTTCAATCCACCTTTGTAGTCCTCACAGGCTATTCTTGTTTTGTCCTCAGTCTCCACACAACTGAACTCAGAACGTCCACCTCCCATACAGTGATCATGTTCTGGGAGCCTGCAAAGCACATCCTGGGAGATCTCTGGGCCTCCTCAAAGGTGTTCAACCTTGGAGATGTGATTTAAGTCCAGGACTGGCTGAGTACTTTTTTGCCCAAAGGTTGTACTGGGGAGTATAATACAGAATAATACACTGTATCTTTCAAGTGACTGAGGGCAGATTTCGATTTTCTGTAAGGATCAAATATTTTATGATGATATGGCAGAACACTGGCACAGGTTACCTTGGAATAGTAACCCCATCCCTGGATGGGGTTAAGGTCAGGGGCTTTGTACAACCTGAACGAGTTAATGTGTTCCTGGGTAACGGAAGGGGAGTTTTTCCAGAGGCTCTTTCAAGTCTCTTCTAGCTCAAATAATTTTGCAATTCTTTGATACTTATATCCCAACTGCTTCTCAACAGGGCTGCAAGTACCTATGCACACCATGCCACCATTTTAATCTTGCATAATTCCCAATACTTCCATAAAAAGGAAAGAATTGCCATATCAGGGACATGAATGACCATGTTTATGGAGGAACCATTAAAAGCCCAAAAAGTAAAGAAACTGAAAGGAAGGACCAAAATCTCAGTGCAAAAGACTCACCAAGTGGGACAATGGCAAAGACTCCAAAGATGACCTCCCGGCTGTGGATGGGGATTTCTGCCTTGGGGTCTGAGTTCCAGGACAGAAGATCACTCTCAGGAGGAGTCCCAGTGCATTTCCCTGCCCCATGGCTCTGCCCTTCCTGATCCAGCAGCTATGGGGCAGCAGAGCAGGGGCAGTGCAGGGACAGGGCTGGCTCTCACAGGGCTGTTGTTGGTTAGGAATGGTGCTCTCCAATTTACTACTCCCAGTACAAGACCACGTGTGTCCCCAGATTTATATTCCCACCATTGCCCCCCCATACCACAGGGGCTTTATCTGCCTGGCCCGGCTTGATCTCCACCCACATTTCACGTCAGGGATAACCTGGAGTTGGTGTCCATGGTTAAATCCACCCCTTGCTCATGAGCCCATCTGGAGGTTGCACCTTTTCCCTGATGACCTGAGGTGTCCAGAAATAACTCACCCTTGTGTGGCCAGTCCAGACCCTCCTGAGACACTTTAATCCTGGCAGCCCCATCCCCGTGTCCGTTGTTGTGATGCTTTTCAGTGCCCAACTCTTGGGCACGTGAGCATCCACAGGAGGGAGTTTCACAGCCAACTTCTCCCCCAGACAGAGATGTCTTGCCCCAGTCCAGCAGCCCAGCTGGGTTTCCCTCTGTGCTCCCAACTGTCCTTTTTCCATGGTTCCAGCCACCCCAGAGAGCATTTCCCACCATCCCTGAGTCAGTGCAGAGGTGCAGCGCTGGCCATTTCTCTTGCTCAGAGCTCCAGGGATGGTCCCAGAGCTACAGTGACTGCAGGAAAGGGGACCCCACAGTGGGACATTTCTTGGTCAGATACAGACAGGAAGAGTGACAAACTGTCTGTGACTCGGGTTTTGGCCTGGCAGCCCCTGCCGTGGTTTGTAGGGAGCTGCAGTGTGGCTCGGCCCTGGCTGTGCCAAGCAGTGCTGGCCTGGGAGAAGGTGTAGGTGCCAGCCGGCCCAGGGAGCTGCAGCGTGTGGGGAACAAATCCCTCCTGGCCTCCTGCCCCAGGGTGGCACTGCAGGGCCTCATGGAGCCAAGGGGCCATTGTAGCATATCAGGGCCCCATGGAATTAAGGGGACTCTTTGGACAATGTGGGGCCTTGTGGGACTGAGGCCATTGTGACACCAGAATCAAGGGGCCACTGTGAAAATATGGGGCCTTGGGGAACTGATACTGAAATCACCCAAATAGATACTTTCTAAC